ATACGTTTTGGTAGTGCCTTACCCAACACTATAAATATCTTAATCAGTCTAGAAACATTATATCTCATAACTAAGAAGCTATGAACACTTTAGAAATGTATTTGATACTTTCCCAAGACCTGTGTATGTGAAAGAAGTTTGGAGGTGTGTTTACCAGTGATCAACTACCTGATCATGCAGACAAACAATTATACTTCGTCAGTCTGAATCCGAGTCATAAAACTAGGGTCTGTATTTACTTTGACTGAGATGAGAAACGAAAATATTTTGATCCATTAGGACTGCCTCCACATAACCTCAACATAAGAAAATTCACCAAGAACTGTCGAATATGAACTTACAACAAAAAAGTACTGCAAGGAACGTATTCGTCTGTGTGTGGACAATACTGTATATATATATTATACTTATTATCATTGTCTATATGTGTTAAAATGCAAAATCTAATCTACACTTGGATCCCACAAAGATATTAATGAGATGTTTGTTCATGATTTTGTTGCAAAACATTTTCATGTAAATACGTGTAAATATAATCCATGGTGTCCTATTAAACATATGGACAGATTCGACAGCGTCCAATAACACAGAAATACACTCTGTAATACACTGCAGCTAAAACAGAGTCCAAGCAACTCTCACGCACAACCTAGATTTATTTTGCTTTATTTTATGCTTATTACATGTCAAAAATCCATCATATACTTGAAATTATGCAGCAAATATTTACTAATGTAGTCTCACCCTGTTGGGGCTGTGGTTGCTTGACTCATTCAGGAAACAGAATACCTAGCTTCCTGATTCGCCAGTTCTTCAGAGCGTTGAGTAAAGTAAATTAAAGAAATAATAATAAATGACTGGTGTTGAAATAAATGAATAAGTTTGTGTTATTCAAACTTTTCCTAGTTCTTATTTGTAAATGATTTAACTAACATTTAAAAAAATTACAATTCACCATCTTAATCTAGTTCACATCATAATAGTTGTTGTTCACGCAATTTGCTACTATAAACAGTGTCTCAACCATTACCGTGTCTGTTGTATCTGAGTCGACCTGCCAGGCATGGCTATATGGTAAAGGCGCTTGACTCGCAATCTGAGAGTCGCGGGTCCGGATCGCCCTTTCAGCCGTGGGGGCGTTATAATGTGACGATCAATTTCACTATTCGTTGGTAAAAGAGTAGCCCAAGAGTTGGCGGTGGATGGTGATGGCTAGCTGCTTTCCCTCTAGTCTTTCATTGCTAAATTAGGGACGGCTCGTTTAGCTTAGCACGAAATTCAAAACAAACCGAGTCGATATGATGAGCAATGGTATTATGCGAAATGCCTCATCGGTACCGAATGTAGCAGATATAGTGGGGTTGGCATACACGTCTTATTAACTTTCAATTACAAGTTCTTAGAGTACTATATAGCATTAAATCTGGCGGATCCGGATTATATTTCTTCCACTTTCGAAAGATGATCTAGCTCTTGTCTATGTGCCCTATAAGGAGCTTGTGAACATGGATTTTGTGTCGCCTAAAACCACGTGAATTATCTTGTTAATAGATCTAAGAGAGTTTCAGACTTTATCTGGAATAAGTCACTGCATTTTTGGATTATTTCAGGTAAACATTTTCATTTTCTTCACTGTCTCTGGTATGCGAATGGAGAAGCCTATTATTTTCTCATTAGAATAATGTCTTCTCTTATTTCTTTGACGTGGTTTAACACCATAGGTTTCATTTTCTTGAAACGCTAAAATTTCTTTTGGGCTATATTTCTAAAGCCCCAAAAATTTAAATACGGGAATAAATACTTTTATTTTCTTTGTATCCTTAAACAACATTTGGTAATTATTTAGATACATTTACCTTAAACAAATTTATAGAGTAAAAAAACAAACAAAACAACATACGTGGTGTTCAGTCATATACAAATCATATTTAGTGTTGCCAAATCCCGCGAGAAAAATAAGCAGTACTGCCATTCAAAACAAGTATCATTGACTTTAGAAACAAGCAGCACTGCCTTTAGAAACACGTAGCACTGACTTAAGAAACACGTAGCCCTGACTTTCAAAATTGCTGTTTTATGACTTATCCTCAATTTGCGGGCCAGAAAAATTCATGATTGTGGGTGTGTTTTTTAATTGAGCAGGAGTGGGGATAGGATGATTCTAAAATTATAATAATGTGAAGTCTGTTCATTGATCCACTCCTATAAGCATTTTATTGGTGTTGAAGTAGGCTATTACAAAAAAGCCCAAATAAACGAATAGAACAAGCCCCCCTCCCCCCCAAAAAAAAAACAACAACAACAGAATCCTTGACTTCAAAGCGACTTACAAGAATGCTATTAAAACATTCTGCACAATTCTGCTTATTTTAAGCGGGCTTGGCTTTTCTGGTTTAAATTATACACCTTACGACAGAAAGTATTTAAACAAAACTAAACAACTTCAGGTCACAATCGTTGTAATTTATAGAAAATGTATTAGTAAGCAAATTCCTAAAATCTCAAATTTAAGAGGTTCTATCGATAACGTTAGTTCAATACCAGGTAGTGTAGTAGTGTGGGAGTTGTGACTTAGGTTGTTATGGTTACTATAGATTCTCATAGTCAGAAGCTATAGGTTAGCACTATTACAGTGGTTAGCTTGATTTCAGTTATTTGTGTATGAAAAAGTATTGGTTCCTAAAGGCATGACCTAATCTTTCCACATTAAAATCAAGCTTTGTTTGCCTAACAATTAGTAGTAGTGAAAGACTCGTGTGCATGTTAATAATAATCATATTAGGTGTAGTCATTGCTAGGCAACAACACAAAGAGGAACACAAATGTATACTGGCCAAGTGTAGGTTCTAGATGAAGTCTACTGGACAGGGGATATTACAGGGTGATTGAGAGACATTTTATACAGGCAATATAAAAGTGTATTCTTATGCCTGTAGAAATGGCACTTGACTGGAGCAATAATTTGGACACTTCATTTCTAAAATCTACGTTTACAGAAGAATGTGGTTGTAATTGTGCCATAACAACTTTCAAATCTACACTTCTAATTAAACTTCTGAAAGGTCAGAAATCAGGTTCGCTAAGTATTTTTGGTCTTGTTTTTTTTATATATAAAACGAAATTATTGACCATCGCGACTACCTTTTTTCAACTGAATTTACAAGAAGTCTTGCTACATTCATCTCATTCCTGACCACCTTATATCTCATGATGAAAGGCATTTACCAGTTTAGCACGTTCAATGACATTGGGAGTGTCTAGTATTCTCGATTACTCTTTGGGTTGACCTGACCTTTCTATGGCTGGATAGGAGCCTATGAAAATGTGTTTCTGGCCAATATATCTGCCATGAAGGTTTTTTCAGAAACTTTGTACACTTTAGCCCTTGAATCAGAAGAGCAAACTGGCCTACCACCATCATAGGCCATTTCTCCAGTTTCAGAGCCACCAGCAGTCGTGCCACTATGGTCAGAGAACTTCCACTAGAACATAGCCTGCTTAGTACATAGCCAGTGCATTGCATTCCACAAGTAGAAACACCACCCAAGATTAAATGTATCTGGACTGGGAATTACTTTTCAAGTGTTGAGTACACACCTGCATCTCAAATTTCTACATTTAAGTGAAAATAATAATTCTAACTATATATCCACATTTTATTTTAAAAGTAGTTTAGAACTGATATTGTATCATTTTGTAGCATTTAGAACTTTTTTAGTGGAAATTCAACCTTCTAATGAACCTGTAGAGACTACTTCCAAAGGATCATCAAGGATAGAGTCATTAGTGGTTTCACTTGGACTCCTACCCAGGAAGAATTCCTCCTCCAACGACAGGATAGCCAATGACAACAAGGGACAAAATTTCAACCCATCTGTATACTATTTGTCTAAGAAAAGAAAACCACCAAAAGACTTGGTGAATAGACAGGTTAGCATAGTGTTTCATTTTTCGTGCCCCCCTTTCCAGTGGCTCAGCAGTAAGTCTGTAGGCTTATGAAACCAAAAATTGGGTTCAGATATCTATGGTGGACAAAGCATAGATGGTTCATAGTGTGGCTTTGCGCTTAACAACAAACAAACCAATATATTTTTTGTATTATGATTGTTCGAGGGACTTCACAATCCAAGAAGGGAGCAGCATTGTAAGCTATATTTTTAATGTTGTAATTAAGATGTTAGCTAGAGGAAATTGCGTGTCGTGATAACGAGGTTATGCTCAAAAAGCTTAGGCCTAGAAAATCCTAAAAACGTCAGATTCTCTCGTAAGTTCAGGGGTGTGCTATAAATACGAGGTCAGTAAAGCTTCAAGAGGATTATAGAACTGGTTCGAAGAAAACAGAATTGTTTTCTACCCGTCAGAGTTAATCAATCAATCTGTTTTTCGTTTCAGCTATGAAATGGTACAAGTATTTATTTGTTTGTTTGTAATTAAGCACAAAGATACATAATGGGCTATCTGTACCCTTCCCACCAAGGGTATCGAAACCAGGTTATTAGCGTTGTAAATCCGCAGAAATACTGCTGTGCCACTGGGTGGTTTGTGTGTATGTGTGCTATTTTTTTTTTTTTATAGCAAAGCCACATCGAGCTATCTGCTGTGTCCACCAAAAGAAATCCAAATCCTGATTTTAGCGTTGTAAATCCGAAGACTTACCGCTGTCCCACCGGGGGATTGCCACAGAGGAGCTGGTACAAGTAAGTTTATTCTTTATTTTTATGTCGTATAGTTAGCATATCTGGCCACAAGTTCCCCGGTGTTCAAGCTTGTAGCTATGTTAATTTAGAAATAAACTAATTTGCTGTCGTTCACGTGGACTGGATTTTGAATTATTTTCACGACAATTTGGAAGAACCCATTTAACGAAACAACAACATTATGGCAATACTGTAGCACAGTGTGCCTAAAAAAACAACAACAAAAAAACAAAAACACTTAATGTCTGAAGTTTTACTATTTTATCATAGAGGGCACTAAGAGTCGTCCTCGAATTTGGCGTTTGTTAACTTACTGAAAATTGACATAGGCTTAGAGCATGGTGTTGTACTTGCAGGCTAATATTTTTTTATAGTTATTATAAAATAATCTTTTGTTTGCGACACAGATTTGGTTGTTTAATAAACATGTTAAAGGTGCTTAAAGAGAGGTCTCAAAAAAGAAGACTTCTATTGGCACAACAGGTATCCTAATCTAAGTTGCACTCTTAGAAATTAAACTTATAATTATTAATATATAGTTTTCGACTAGCGAGTCCTACCCCTGCTATTATTACTATATAAATAAAGTTTGATCTATGTATGACTAAATAGTAGTAGTACTATATACTATATAGTAAATTATTAAACAAGACAATAACGCCGTAAATTTTTCGAATACTACAACGGTAACAGTGTAGTATTAACTTGTATTCGTAGTCTTTGTCTTTGGACACCCCCCCCCCTCCCCCCATCTACCCTAATCTAATTCTAAACTGAGGTTTCAAACTACTGTTTCGTAAGACGACTGGTCTCTTACAGTTTTATATCCCTAAATATTTCAAAACCACAAAAAGAAAACATTTCAACAAGAAAAAATTGGATGTCACCATACTATTTTTATTTTAACAATTATTTGGAAAATGTATGTAAGTAGAGTGTAAGTGATTGAAAATGAAAGAGGAACAAAATTATGAAGAAAAACTAACAGTGAAATATAATGACTATTTCCTCTTTGAGAACAATCTTATTAATATATTCCAGTTCCAAATAAAAGAAAAATATAGGTTACCAGACTGTAAAGCAAACTATGGGATTTAGTTTTCAAGCATACAGGCTGGTTGGAGACAGTTGTAATAACATCTAATTTTTTACATTCAGTTTGGTCTACTTGGTGGGCCATAAGACTCAGTTTCATAGTCCTGAGAATTATCGCAATATGGTATGATTGTGAACTGCTGCAGTTGCTTTTAAAGACATTTAGTTATTCTCACATTGTTCTCTAACAATCACTGTTGGTATTAGACTTTTAGTACTATAATTAGTGTTTTTTAGAAATTGATATATTTAATAAGAAATTTAATAATGTAATTATAACAAACTCTCTCCTTAATAAAGTTCTATTTGAGGTCCTAAAATAATATTAAAGTTTTTATTAAACCAAACTATTCCTAATTGAATAAATAAACAAACAAATCTAGCATGGTAATATTATACAGTAGAAAATGTGATTCGACACATTTAATTATTCAGTTTTAATTACTGCAAAAAATAGGTTACTTTTACTGTACAGATTAGATATAGGTTGGAATTGAAAAAGTTGTGCAGTTTTGAAGATAAATTTTGTCATCTCTTTCATATCAGTATTGCCCAGTACAGAATTTAGATGTAAATATAAGAATGAAAATGAACTTTATGAAACCAAGCTAGGATTTCATTTATTCTCTACAAGCTGAGGTACCAGTCCTTTTTCTGGGTTATGAACTTAAAAAAATGTGTGGGTGGATTGATGCTATGATAAATAACATAAAAATCCTAACTTTCACACAATTTATTTATAACACATTATTACAGTATTCATTATTACATCATCAAAAGTTTTGTATATGCTTTAATAACTCAATGTGTATATACTTAAAACATGGTATGCACTGTGCGATGGTCAGGATGACTTTGTAGGAAAAGGTAGCGACCAAAGTGGTGGTGGTAGGGGTGTTTTCTGTTATCCGCTTTCAGCTTTCAACACCCAGCTATGTTTTTACACAGGGTTACACATGATTAATTAATTGATGATCATTAGCCACAGAAGTGTCTTACATGCTGAAGTTGAAAGGTCATGGGTCAAAGTAGGAAGTGGGTATATCTCGAGACATTTCAGCTAAGTTCATGTATTATTGCAATAGTGGCAGCCTTTTTTTGCCTATTGCATTCGTCTATAGAGAGTGCTAGAGCACTCTCTGAGATATGTGATGTTTGTGTGCCCTCCTCCCACACTATGTATGTTGTGTTATAGAAGATTTAATAAAGTTTGTTTTGTGTGTGTAAGGATGTGATGCTATCTGTGAATGTAGTTATCAAAAATAATAAATGCTCAATAAAAGCAATAATGGGGGTGGAGGGGGTTGTGCCCCCCATTAATGTGCCACTTGTACCAAATTATCATCTCACAAAGCTTGGTTGAGATTGGCCCAGCGACCTAGGAGTAGTTATATAACAAACAGACATACACACAGATTTTTTTGCTTTATATATATAGATTAGATTAAGACTTCAAAGAAAGTAATTTGAATTAATAACACTCAATGTGTCCTAATCAGTGAGTTTTCTCAACAAGCATTAGTCTCTCTACACAAGAACTCTGTGAAGCATATTGATTATTTTGAAACCTAGGCCTTCGCGTTGTGTCAAAGTAGATATATAATATGAAATTGTTTACTGTTGGCTTTGCAGCTGTTTTTGCACTGCATTCAGGACTCTACTAGTCGATACTGATGTACCTCCTTTTTTTTCCAGTTTATGTTTTTATGAACTTACTTAATGTTATGCTACTTCACAATGTCTTTACTGTTTTGCATATAACGACATACTTGATGCATATAAAATGGAATCATGTGAAATTACATAACAGTATTTAATATTTGGATACAGTATTGAATTTATAATGAAGCCTTTCTGTACTTGTTTATTCCAGCTTGGGGCAGGAAGTGTGGACAATCTCAGTATTGTACTTGGAAATCAAGAGGATAAAAGTTTTCAGAATGATAAACAACTAAAGTAAGGTATTTATATCAAAATAAAGTTTGGAGTGAAAAAAAATGTAATTCATTATAACAGCTGTTTATGTGTATTTCTTTTAAGTTGGTCATACAAACTGATAACTTTGTGTCACTAGATTGTACAGTAGGCAGGGGTGTTACTCAAGTTCAAGTAAAAGTAATTTGTCAAAAAGTTACTCAAGTTCAAGTAAAAGTATCCATCCTGAAATTTATTTAAGTTAGAGTAAAAAAGTAGCAAAACTAAAAAGTACACTCATCTGCAGTTCTCTCAAACCCTACATGTATGTTTTGGGCCATGAGGTCTAGAAACAAAATGCAGCATACATTATAGGGGCACGGAATTATTCACAGTATGTTTAAACTTGAACAGTTTATGAAGATATGGCCATTATCTTTGAGAGAAACAACATCGGAGTCAGATATCCTGCACACACAAGTTACTGTGAGAAAAGAGTGACACTTGTGACTTGACCAGCCGCAAAGGGAATAGCAAACCAGCTGATGTAAGCAGTGCATGCGATTGGCTGATTTAAGTTTCTGCGCTTGCCTTACGCTGTGACTGCCTGCCACAAATTTGAGAGTAGTAACGGAATATATAAAATGAAAGGTAGTGGAGTAAAAGTACAAGTAACTCTCCTAAAAATTACTTAAGTTAGAGTAAAAGTATTTGAAAATATAAATACTTTTTAAAAAGTAGATACTGAAAAAAGTTATTTCGTTAACTCTACACCCCTGACAGCAGGTTTTATTTAACTTTGTGCTCATGATAAGGCTATAAAATAATTTTGTGTTAGGCTATGTTAAATGCTCATTTTTATTCTTTAAAAGTGCATAATGATAAAGGATTTAAATCAAACATGATGAGAAATGTATTTGCAGTTGAGTATTTGAAAGTGTTAATGTAACACAGTTTGCTTGAGATCAGATATCTGGGGAGTGAAAGGGTATCCTCACTGGACTGATAGGCTTTCTGTTATCTTGCTTGTTCTTGTGTTCTCAGGTAAGTGAATTACTGTAGGAGGGGTATAGTGTTTCTAGTGGCTTCTGGTTTAGATATTGTGAAAAGCTGTGATCATGCTTAAATTTTGTAGTAGAATTTTAACATGTCCCTCAGGTACCAAGGGTTGTCTTTACACTACAATTTGTTGAATATTAAAAGTAAGTTCAATCCAGAAACTCCCAAAGAGGGTGGTGTTTGATTTATCTTTTCGAGACAAGTTTTTGTTTGTTAAGTGATAAATTTTTAAGTGAAATACAGCATCCTCTAGTATCACTCCTAGCGGGTAGACTTAGTACTAGCTAGTATGGATAAAGCCACATCTCAGCATCATTATTTAAGCAATTGCCAACCTTTTATGCTTTTGCTATCACCTTTTTATGCTTAGCTTTCAATTGAGATACGAACAATTTCATCTATGATTTGGTATGGAAGGTCAAAGCATCACGATAGTCAGCTGTAGGATGAGCAGACAGGACTTTGAAAGCATAATATATTACTCAGCTTGCTGTACAATATCTACCAAGGTGGTTCTAAATAGTTCTTGAATACCTCTGTGTGTCATTTGGAGACTTCCATGTTTCTTGCACTTGGCCGTTAAGTTCATAATGTGCTGACGGATTTCAGTCACCTTACCACTTCAAATCACATTTCTTTATCTCAATGTTAAAAGAGTGTGGGAAATACCTTCTTTCCAGCCAATAACAATGTTCAAAAAATTTCAGTTAAAATTAAGAAAACACTGGATTGAGTAGTAGTTTTTTTTTAATGTCCCCTACTGGCTCATGAGGGGCCTGTTAAAATAATATGTTTAATATAGCTTGAAGACTGTTTTAACTGTTTTACAACAGTTTTCTATTTGTCTTGAAAATTTAAGCTTAAAATTTATAGATAAGATTCTTATATGATAAATACCTGAAACAATGAATTTTTATTTGTAGGTATTTAGTTTGTTGTGCTTATCATTAAGAAAATATTTTTTTTATTTCACGTAAGTGAAAACATGCTTTGGCAGTTTTGATATTAGACATAAATAAAATGCTATAAGTTTAATAGAATGTTGCTTGATATGCTTCAATGTATTCTATGTGTTGTTTATTGTAGGAATTAGAACATTTTGTCCACCTGATTTTTTATTCTAGTACCTTTGCAAGTAAAGAAAATGAAGAACAAGAAAAAGAAACAGATTCAGTAAAAAAACAGAAAACTGATGGTGAAGGTGATTATGAAGTAAGCGATTTTTTAATTATCTTATAGAAATATTTCACAATATTAAAATGTTAGATTTTATTTATTTTGAAAAAGCATTTGAACAGAGGTGGACAGTTAGGTTGTAAACTTTTTCAGTCAAACCTAAATACAAAGTCTATAATGAGTTTGAATGATCAAAATATTTGTTCCAAAACATACATACCTCCGCTGATACTAATAACTATTTCTCGATCTGCATCTTTGCCATCTAACGTTGTGTTCGCTTGCTCCAGTCATTATATACTCCACTCGACTGCTCTCAGCAATATCTAATTTGCAAAACCTTACGCAGGCCCTCACACACCCTCTATGCAGGCACCGTATAAAAGCACTGTATGCTGACAATAAAATCACTTTTTTTCGATAAAGCGCAAGCATTCAGACTAACGTTTTGTGATTTACATTTTCTTAGTTTTCTTTTTCTGATAATCGTGAATTCTTTGTTTTGTTTATTCAGAGATACATTTTGTTGAATTTGTCTTTTCCTACAAATATATTGAACAAAAAAAAAAAAATTGGATATGAATTCTTGTGTAATGGTTTCAATCACTGAGACTACTCAGCTTTCGTCTATTCCCCCTTTGTTATCTAGTAGTGGTCAGGGGTGGGAGTTACTCTCCATGGAAGCTGTCCGTGACATGATTCGGGGCGAGATCGAGTCTTTCATGCAGCCCCAGGGTATCTCTCCGAGAGTGCTGATTTGAATTTGCATTCTGAAACGGGATATTCTGGGGAGAATTTAGACTCCATGTTTCCTCTCCTGAGGACTCATCTGATCAGCCACTTTCTGCTCCTTTTCTCTGCAGTTAGTTACACATGTTTGTGAAGTTTTGGAGATGCAACCAGTTGGTTTTGAGTCTACCCTGATTTGTTTTCCGATCATTATCAAGGGATGACTAACTTTTTCCTCCTTCTCCTGATATTGCTGTGCATGCAGGGAGGTTTACAACACAATTATGTGAGGGTGTCGCTATGCCTCCCCCTCCCTTGTTTATCTGAACAACATGCCTTGGTGTATCATCATCAGGATGATATATAGTTTGACACTCAAAGGTTGGATCTTGAATCTGTTGTTGGATCTATGGGGTGCCAGGTACGAACCTGTTTTCTCTCTTAACAGGTCACAATTTTTGCAGATTTGTTTGACTCTTACTACTGTTTTAAGATACTTCTCTTCCCTTCAGCTTTTGTTTGAAGCATATCACCGATTGCTTCAACAATTTGATGATGAACTGGGCCATTTACTGGTCAATATTATAACACATTTGTCCTCTTCAGGACTTGCCTTGGTGTTGTAGTTACCTTCTCCTACCCTTCGGGATTTACGGGAAGCGCCTTTTCTTCGGCCTTATTTATTTGCTGGAATTTCAGAATCTTTAGAAGCCAGAGTTGATACAGCATGTTTGCCGTCTTTTTTATCACCTTTGGCTGTTCAACCCTATTCTACTTCCACTTGTATTTCTGCATGTTCATCCCCTCGTGTCTCAAGGCCCCCTCCTTCCACTCCTCATTCCATTGGTTCTCTTAATCATTTCTGTCCTTCTTCTCGGGAGATATTTTGTTGGCCAGTCGGTGGGCTTCTCCCAACATGTTCATATCTCATTATCTTCATGTTTTGGTAGTTATCTCTTTGAAGGGACTTCGTATTCCCTCTGTGGCTGTTGCCTACCTCTACTAGATTTTAACAGGGTGGTGAGTAACGTTTTATCTGACTTAAGTTATTGTTCCTTTTTCTTCTATGATCCCTATTAATTTTTTTATGATCTCTGTCCTCACCGGCCTCTCCTCCTTCTCAATGTGGGATTCTAGCTATTAGTGTCAGCAGAGGTATGTATGTTTTGTAAGTTATAATTTTCCTAAACTGAAAATGTATTTCCAAACATACTTACCTTTGCTGACACTCTCCATCCCTTCCTCTCCACCAAGAGCTGATGTTAGTGACCGGAATGGGGTAAGTCTCGAGAAGGTGATTATATTTTCTGCATACAGTGCTTATATACAATACCTGCATAGAGGTTGTGTGAGGGCTGGTATAAAGTTTTGCAAGTTAGATATTTCCGAGGGCAGTCGAGTGGGGTATAAAAGACTGGAGCAAGAGTACACAATTTTAGATGGAAAAGATGAAGATTGAGAAATAGTTAGCTAGCTATAAGTGTCGGCTGAGGTAGGTAGGTTTGGAAATACATTTTCAGATTAGGAAAATGATAACTTTAATTTTTTCACTTAGATTTGCTCTTTTTTTTCTCTTTGATGTCCCAGTTTGGTTTATTCTTTGTATAGTAGTCCTTTACCAGCATTATGCAGTTGCTTTAGATTTACTTGTCAGACATTAATGTACCTGAATACCTAACATATATCCTGAAAATTTACCTCACAAAAGCACTCGAGTTATCAGGTTTCTTGTTTTAAGATTTATCTAATATTTTATTTTTTGTGATTTCTAAGCACCACAAACATAAAACACTTTATTTTAGCTTCATTATTAAATCCTGATACTGCTATAAGTCATCATATAACAGTGGTGAATCAAAGAAAGTGTCAGTAACATTTACATTTATCTATTATCAGTAATGCAGTGTTAATTTTCATTTTGTTGTATTGATTATGTTATTATATTGAGCACAGTTTAGTAATTCTCATCAAAAAATAGTTCCACATTGCAATGATGTGTTTAAAATAGAAATTAAATTTAGTTAGAAGTTTCTAATTGTTTTTTGATTTAAAATCATTTTTATGGCATATTATGAAACTAGTCCTTGTCTCAGAATTGAACATTTTTTTTAGTAACTTGATCCAATAAATTGGCATATGTAGAGGTCGCATCTGGAAATTGTTTGTGCAGTGAAAGATCATTTAATTAAAGGTTTAAGAGAAATTTGGTAGTAAGCTAAATAGAAAAGTGGTTAGTCCTAATAAGTGTGCCCAAGATAGATATATTTACATGTCGTATTTCAGGAGGAATCGGAAAGAAATCTTGATTTTGCAGAGGAAGAAGTTTATACAGGTTCCAGCACATTTTTGAAGGTAAAGATTTAATATTGTTTATTTCCAAATATCCTTGGTATGTTTATTCTCTTTTATTATTCTTGAAGGTAGAATATTTGTTTCAAATATGTTACATCTGATTTTCTTCTATGAGTTTTTCTGTAGATAAAATTAAATTTGATCATGTTTCATCTAAACTCATCCTTTGTTTCTCAACTTTTATGTAATATATATATATGTGTGTGTGTGTATATATATTTGTTTTTACAACAACAGAAGGTTTAGAAGCTGTGTTTCTTTGTACTAAGTATCTGTAATAGTAAATACTTCCGAATTTTCACTGTTCACATTGTAAGAAAACATAAGTTCATTCAAGGAGATTTTCAGAATTTTGACACAATATTTTTTATACACTGAATAAGTTTTAATTTAAATGGAAAATTTATAAATGTTTAACTGTTATTTTACATGTTTGTTTTTAATGCAGTCTCAGTATTTTTCACAATTGTTCATTAAATTTACTGTTATTCATTATTTTATTTTATCTACATTATTTTAAGCATAGATGTTTTGTGACAATTTTTCAATGTATTTTTTTGTAACAAATGAATAAATTCAATAAAATATTGTATTTTTTATTTTACAATATTATAAAATATTGTAGTATGCAAATATTCCTTCAAGATACCAACATGGCTAATTTCAGCTAATAGAATTCTGTTGAGTTTTGGAAGAGTTATATGAATAATGTAAGGCTTCCTTTATTGTTTAGCTTATAATGTGGTAGTAGAAACAGAATTCCTGTCAATCTGATGGCTTGATATAATGCTATTTCTTTGAGTTTTCTTTACAATCATTGATGAATTTTGTCATGGAATTTATTTTTGGTTGTTGGCTTTATTTATCAAAACAGTGCAGTTGTTTCTGTTAAGTGGAAAATTTACAATCTTTCTTGACACTATTATTTTTTTCTATTTGAATGATAAATTTTAAGTTGTATGATGAGCGTTTCTTAAAACAACAGCTGTTTATTTTCGTAACTGTTAAGCTTATTTTTAAGATAAGGAAAGAGTGACTTTTTGGAATGGTGGTGGTAAAGTTTCTTTGTTTTGTTTTTGAGACAGATTGAAGATAAGGCCTAGTGATATAATATAGAATTAATGTGAATAAATGGTATCAAAGGTCAAACTTTTGACAAATCTGATAAGCTAAGTTGGTTTCTGAACAACTTTTTGTTAAGAAGCAGCGATTTCTTTGTTTATGTAGGAAGGTGTAGTGGTAGCTGATGGATCTGTTACTGTTTTGTTGGGAGAAAGAGTAGATTTTCTGGAAAACTACATTTAAGATTCTTTGATAGAATTGTTTGTTTCATGGTTCTCGGTATTATACGTTAACAACCTTCACAGAAGAAAATTGAAAGAAGACACCACTCATTCATAATTAAACTTTCACAAAACATCATACTTGACTTGTTACCTTCTGTATGAAATCGCTATTTCTTCAGTTGGATAATATCTTTGTGAAAACTGTTGAAGTTAAAACCATATCTGCCATTCCTCGACTCAGAACAGGACACCAAGCCATATATGCTTCCTGGCTCGGATAGGACTCCTGAGCCATCTCCGTATCCACAGATAGACCAAATGATGTCGTGGTCTTCTTTGAAGGACGAACAACATCTGCCATTCCACTTGCAAACCTAATTATGTTCTCTTTTCCTTCAATTTTTAATTCGGTCTCTCATTCCAGCATTTTTGCTCCACTATTTTAACCCTTCAGTGACCATCCTTCACAAATCTTTCGCAACAGGCTTAGTATAAAATTAGGGATGGCGAGTGAAATTCAAAACAAACAAAGTTATCTGTCTTGGCTGTGTTTTAGTGGACTAGTATTTTGAAAAATACAGTCACATTTCAGTTATAATACATTATATATGTATATACATTATTTAAAAATAAGTTCTTAAACTTTTTTTCTTAAAACATGGAACAGTAAATAAAGAAGTAAAGTAAACAATTATCTCTTCTAGTTATGACCTTTACTCAATTGCTGCTTGATGTAGGCTGCTAAGCATTTTAAAATTTTGCAGGTGGAGGATATGACAAAATAATTTTTAAGGCTTCACATATGTTGTTGAATAACCAAAAAATCATGACTTACTATATCGATACCATAGAATTTCACTATCATTTATCAAGTTCAGTAAATAAGCTGTATTTGGGTCTAAAAAAGTATGAAATTCCAAGCACAACCTACCTCCTTGAAATCTTGTTTTGAAAGAAGGAGATGGTGTCCTAACACTTGAAAATGGCTAAGAAAGCCACTAAGGGGACATTCTGCGCTATTGATTGGTTATTCATATGTCATATATACAAGTAAGTGTATATAAAGGGCTATTTCCAAAAATGGAAAGAGGTGAGTGGGGACCACTGTGTTTGATTCAGTACATATTGTAGCTTGTTAATATCGGTAATTTGAGTTCCTAATGCATACAAAACTAGCCCCCCCCAGTGGCACAGCAGTATGTCTGCGGACTTACAACTCTAGAATCCGGGTTTCAATACCCTTGGTGGGCAGAGCACAGATAGCCCATTGTGTATCTTTGTGCTTAATTAAAAACAAACAATCATACAAAACTAAACTTTGTATTTGACTTCACAAACATCTAATTTGAACCAGTGCTATATTCAACATACCATGTGACATAAAAATTGATGTTTAAGTGTTTTTTAATATTAACTTTTATATTAAGAAATTGAATAATGTATAATACTAAAATTTGAATTATAATCTACAGTTTGATATCAAACGTATTGATATAAATTTATAAAACAGTAGTTCAATAAAATTTTTAATGGAAGTCAACA